TCCATCCATCCATCCATCCATCCATCCATCCATCCATCCATCCATCCATCCATCCATCCATCCATCCATCCATCCATCCATCTTCCTCTGTTTATCCGGGGTCAGGTACAGTGGCAGCAGCCTAAGCAAAGAGACCCAGACTTCCCTCTCGCCAGTCACTTGGGCCAGCTCCCCTGGGGGAATCCCCAGGTGTTCCCAGGCCAGCTGAGAAACACGAAAGGAAGATTTTTTTTGGATAGTTGCATTTTCAACTGTTGTCTTTTACATCTACAAGAGTTGAGTTCTTCTGAAGTGTTACAAAGACAATTTGTAGAAACAGGCCATGATCTGAGGCTTTTTACTGATAAAATTTCCTTTTAAACATGTTACTGAAGTAAGAAGAAGCAGGTTTATTTTGAATAAACATAATAAATGTGTTCATTCCTACAAAACTGTGAAATATGTTTACGAAATACAATAAACTGATACAGATTAGCATAAAATAAATCATGTTTTATAATTAAATGTCTGTGTCAACCCTCCACCCCCCCAAAAACAAAAAAAGAAAAAGAAAAGACAGCCTACCACCACCACGGTTAAGAAAAATCCTAGGGGAAACCCTGAGATTAGAATCAGCCTTTGATAACCCTTGTGGATTGACTTCTAGACAAAGGGTCGCTCACCGCGCCCACCAGCTCAAAGTGACCGTCTCCGTTGGTGATCAGCTGTCCGTTAAAAGCCCAGGAAAAGGAAACATCAAGGACGGGGTCACTGGAGACTTGACAGGGTAACACAACACTCTCACCGACAAGGATTTCCATGTCCACTGGCCCCTGGATAAATCTGGTTTGATCTGCAAACAACAACAACCAAAAAAAAGTGTTTTAAATCCAAGAGATGGCATTTCTAAAGAGAACATGAGGTACTTCACCATCTTTTTTACCCAAAACACACGTTCTAAGGTAACACTTGCAAAAACACAAGAACATGCTCTGTAAAACACCGAGTCACACGCTTAGCTGTGTTGACTTTATAAAGGAAGGTCTTATGAAAGTCTCAGTCAAATATTGTGTGATTACGTGCAGCCTGCCACCACTAAAACGGGTAATAGGATGACACAGCTCGTATAATCTTCTGAAATCCTGATAGAAATTGCAATGCACTGCTGATCAGATAAAACTTCCCATAATAGGCTCCTCAGTGGATCCGGTACCAAAATGAGAAGCACAGCTTTAAAGTCTACTAAAGCAATCATTTAGAGAAGCCCATCTGTGCTTCAAAAAGCCAAGATAATGAATCTGCAGGAATCAAATAAAGAAGGTACAACACAAAGGATGAGGACTTGTTCTCTTACATCTTACCTTACAATGAAAGTCAAGAGGTAGGAAAAAGATTACATGTAGGGAAAAAAAGTTGTCTCTGTTCTTAAGCTGGTAAGAATTAATGTTTTGGTTGGAGCCACTCACCACTGACTGCTTTATGACTGTGAAAAATACTTGAGTCATTAAAAGAAAAAAACTGGCCTTGGCAATCTAAGCAGCAGACAATATCACTCAGTCTATTAACAAAAACCAATGGGAAACCCTGAGAACACTCAGCTGTCACTCCAGTGTAAAAAAAAAAAACTTACACGCCCCAACTATAACAGACACCACCTCACTAATGCTTTCATTGCGTTTACCCACGGCACTTTCATTTGCTGCAGTAAATTGGTTGTTTCAGCTGCTTTGAGGAAAACAGTGTTCAAGTACTTTGTCAATGTTGTCAGTGTTCTGAGGCGGATTATGGCAGCTGCTGCATAAATGCAGTGGGACAAAATGACTGAAAGATGTTTTATATACAGTATTTATTCATCTTTTACCTAAAGAACATAATCACTTTAAAAAATTACCAACAGTTAAAGGAGACATAAACAAAATCCACTTTTTTTTAGCCATTAAATACATTTTGTTGTGTATTTGAAGTCTCTAGGAGAGCAGAAAATTTGAATTTAGTTTCTCCCGGTGCCGCATGGATATATTGTTATTTTATCATATTGTTATATTATATCATTAATCTAAATTTTGTCATATTTTTCAACCTGTTCAGTTTTTCTCCACTGCTATATAAACCCCTCTATTGATTGACTGATTGATTGGTTTTATTTAGCAGTAATATTAAATGTACATACACATCTAGTATAATCATTATTAATACTTGGATAACAAATGAAAGTGAGTCACTCTATCAGTCTGGAAGCTAAAGGTGGTGTGAAGTGCCTTGTTTGGATTTAAAGAGACAGCCTCAAAACGAGTTGATCTGCGACAACCTCAGAAAAGGGGTGAAAGAGGGGCTTGTGGAGTTACAATAAGGAGGAATTCAGACCAAAAGCATTGCAGTTTCACTTTATATAGACCCCAACTGAATGATTTAAATGTGAAAAAGGATTTAAAAGCATGATATGTCTCCTTTAAGCGCGCTTCAGAATGAGAAATCCAAAAGTTTTGACACCCCTAACGTTTCATTTCAGCTACTGACCCAAATGCAGTCACTCTCTCTCTCTCTCTCTCTCTCTCTCTCTCTCTCTCTCTCTCTCTCTCTCTCTCTCTCTCTCTC